TCCATAGATTTCATTGATTATATAAACCAAGAAAAATAAGGTTGAATGGAGAAATTGAAGAAAATAAAAGGAAAATATATATATTTGATATTGCAAAATGCCGAGAAGATTGGGGCCGGGAGGGGGGGGGGGGGGGCACAAATGAGATATTGCAAAATCTTGAGATGGAGAAGTTTGAAGTTACCGTTTTTGTCCCTGAAATCCATCCCATCAGACGTGGCTGCCCCTCTCTTTGGGACACATGTAGGCCCCACTCCCACCTTTATTCCCTCGACTACCCCTCACCCCCCACGCTACTTCAATTCAACCATTTTCTTCCTTCGTCAATTACCTTTCTACCCACCCTTCCCCCAACAATTTTATTTTCTCTGTTTCTACATTCCAATTATATCAAATTTAATTCCATCACAAATTATTTTATTTATACCGTTCATCCTTTAATACTCACATATCTCACTTTTTACATCCAATACTTGGTGTTTTAGTTACGTACAAAAGTGTGTTTTAGAACGATTGATCTAAATAATCAAACTGTAACGACTTATGCTTAAGATTCGAATTAGAATTTACCAAACATTTTCGGTATCCTTTGCGACATGGTCACACCACTTACTCCTCACACACCGACATGAGTCATTGCAACATATTTTATAATCACTCACATGTATCATAAACAGGATCATAGAAGGTCACCAAACATAATTACTCCAAGTAAAACGTGCTTAACTTTAGGATTTATAATTCTGTATCCTCACGATCACTCTCATTCAAATATTCTCTTGATTCATTCATGTACTTCGTTCATTCAGATGTCACACCAATAATCAACCTTAAACAATATAACAAGTGTCTAATTTGATAAAATATTGGATAAGAAGTTTTTAAAAAACATTTTTTTCTTTGGTCCCGTGCAATATGCTCTTTCCAAAGAAGATTTTAATTTCTACGTCATAATATTCCTTCTATGGTGTGAAAGATAAGATTCAACGAGGAATACAAACAATACCATCTAAAAGGGAATTTCGAGTAGACCTTGCGCATCACTCGTATATTTTTATAGGGCAACTAACTTAAAACATATATTATTAATGAAAATGTTAGAGGTTCGAATCTTCTACCTGATTTAATGTTGAACAAAAAAAAACATATATTTAGGACCAATTTTTTCTCTTAGGCTCACTCTATGGGTTACTCTGGTTGGCTCTCACATCACTCGACCCGACATGATCATAGGAACATATTTACATGGGAACGAGGGAATGTTTCAAATTTAGTCCATTTGATTGAGTTAAGCTACAAAAATTGATAAGCACAAGTTTGAATATGGATAACGCATTTGTTTCTCCTTTTAGAGTTCCGTACGGAACGTTTACATAGGAAAGCCATCGCGTCGCATCGCATCGCATCGCGAGGAGGCAACTTGGTAACCAAACGCGGCTTGCTCCCCACACCACAACAAATCAACTATTTTCATAAAGGGTACTTTTGTACTTTCACTATCATGACATAATATCACATCATCCCCCACTCCACTTGCCAACTTCCTTGGATTATCTCCCATGGACCATAATGCCCCCTCATTTATTTCCTATTATCTCTATTTAAATAGTTCAAAATATTACAAAAACTTTAATGTAAAAATATAAATCAGTAACCCACTTAATGATGCATCATATTTCAAAATATTACAAAAACTTTAATGTAAAAATATAAATCAGTAACCCACTTAATGATGCATCATATTAACCCATTTATTGATATATGATAAGAAAAAATATGATAGGACTGAGTACATAATTTATATATATTATAACCCATTTATTGATATATGATAAGAAAAAATATGATAGGACTGAGTACATAATTTATATATATTATCTCCCATGGACCATAATGCCCCCTCATTTATTTCCTATTATCTCTATTTAAATAGTTCAAAATATTACAAAAACTTTAATGTAAAAATATAAATCAGTAACCCACTTAATGATGCATCATATTAACCCATTTATTGATATATGATAAGAAAAAATATGATAGGACTGAGTACATAATTTATATATATTATAGTTTAGACATTGCATTGAAGCTTAAGCTAACAATTGAAATATTTGTAATATGATAAAATATAAGTGAGAAAGATGGTAGAAAATCTCAACTTGGCATGAATCCCCTAAAAAGAGGACAAATGTGCCACTAGGCTTAAATTTTAGATGCCTTGTGGATTTTATACTCCATGCTCAATCTCACTTCATTTTTTCATTTCAAACTTTATATTTTATATCACCTCTAATGAATATCAAATTATTTTTTCAAATTAAAATAATGTTTTTATTTCAATGCACCTGATTTCTAAATACATCGGACTTTAGATTATGAATATCAAATTATTTTTTCAAATTAAAATAATGTTTTTATTTCAATGCACCTGATTTCTAAATACATCGGACTTTAGATTATGAATATCAAATTATTTTTTCAAATTAAAATAATGTTTTTATTTCAATGCACCTGATTTCTAAATACATCGGACTTTAGATTATGAATATCAAATTATTTTTTCAAATTAAAATAATGTTTTTATTTCAATGCACCTGATTTCTAAATACATCGGACCATATCTTATAGAAGATTATATAAGTTTTGTATTCAATACAATAATATAACTTATGTCATTATATTGAAACAAATTAACAAAAATCATTCTAATTCAAGTCTGTCAATTTTATTAAAAATACTTCACGTGTCAACAAAAACTAAGTTATAAAAATATCGAGGTTTGATTATAGGATATACTATACCCGAAAATTAAAAAAATTTAATGATAAATTCAATTAGAGTAAAAGAAATGAAAATGATTTTTTTTTTCATTCAACTATATCAATTTTTAAAAGTTCAACAAAATTCAGAGTCAAAGTCTTCCCTTTAAAGACAATTCTTCTCTAAAAGTCCAATTTAATTAGTTATCAATCAATTGCACAAAGACAAACCTTCATGTCAAAATAATTCAAGGATTTAGCCATTAATAAAAATTGTTTAGATTAAGTTGTGTTTTAGTCGAGTGGAGGGGATGATATTTGTTTTTACCTCTAATAACCTACATCGGTGAATCGATCGGTCGACGAAGAGGCATGTCGACAATGAACGCTATAAATTTGCATCCCCGCTGTTGTCTTAAAGCTAATGTCTCCCTCTCTGCTTGTCCATCTGTATGATCGTCGTATGATACAAAAATTTCTATGGAGAACTTAGAAATTTCGTATGGCGATTCAATTTGAACCGTCATGACAAGACACTTGAGTTTCTATGTCGAGCCTAATATTTTTTTTGAATGCGTTGACATGTATATTGATTATAAATAAAATGTTATAACATGACACGTGATTTTTTAAATAAGGCTTAGGAATGAATGTGCTTAATTATTTGTAGTACAAACTTGTTTTTTTTGCCCACTTTGTCACGATTATACATTTGTCTTTGCATGATATGATGTTATTGTGATGAGGCTCTAGAGCATCTTCAACCGACCTCTAGTAGCGATGACTCATTTATGGTTGACTCACATATGTATCATAGTTGGTTCATGCATGAGATCACTACCTTCATGTTTATGATATGATCACGAACTACCTCTTTAAAGTAATAGGTCACTTATGGCTGACCCACATATATATCTTAGTTGGTTCGGCAAGAAACTAACTACTTGCTGAATAAATTAGTTACGGTTAGAAGTAAAGTACGAAAAGTCCATGTATTGAGTATTTTTATTCTCCCGTGCTACTCTTCTCAAAAGTACCGAGCCCATATAGCATGTGACAAGAGCATTGCAGATGAACGAGGCTGTGGGAACAAAGACATTGTAGAGTCTTATGCTCGGTTCTAGTAGCCTTTGTCATTGTATAATAGCTTTATGGATATTTTGATGTAAAAGCTTATGAAAATAATGTACGATTGTCCAAATATTATATTATTTTGAGAAGTTTAATGAATTAAAGGCTTCACCTTTGGTTTAAACCAATTTTTGTGATGGTATTTAGGTTGAAAATATGACATCACAATTGTGTGAGAATGAGAATATGAGAGATTTTGTTGGAACTATTAAATTATATTTAAATAGATCAAATTATTCTAACTCCAAAGTTAAAAAATGTATGAAAGTAAAAGGCATATAAATTTTAGGATTTTTATTTTTGAAAAGTTATTTAAAACTATTACATAAAGCTTCTTATCAGAAGGCATTTCTTTAAACAATTATTCTCCTTTTTGTTTTGTTTTGTTTTGTTTTAAACTTTTGGGGGTGCTAAATATTTTTCAACAAATCTAATTATCAAATTATCAAATTATCAAATTATCAAATTTTGTATTATTCAAAACAAAATAAATAAATTTTGTATTATTTAATTAAAAAAAAAAAAAAAAAGAAACAAGAAGAAAAATGAGAAGATACC